CCTTGGGATCTGTAGTGATATCCTCCTCTATTTCATTTCTAATATTAGTAATTTGTATCTCCTCTTTTTTTTTCTTGGTTAAGGGTTTATCAATTTTTCTGAACTTTTCAAAGAACCAACTTTTGGTTTTGTTGGTTTTCTTTATTGATTTTTTTATTTTCAACTTTATTGATTTCTGCCCTAATTTTTATTATTGCTATTCTTCTGCTTTGGAGGGTTTAATTTACTCTTTCCTTTCTAGTTTCCCAAGTGGATTAATGATTTTAGCTCTTTTTCTAATATATGCATTCAATGCTATAAATTTGTAAGCACTGTTTTCATTGCATCCCACAAATTTTTAGTTATATTTTCATTTTCAATTACTTCAAAGTATTTTTAAATTTCTCTAGAGATTTCTTCTTTGACCCATGTGTTATTTAGAAATGTGTTGCTTAATTTCCAATTATTTGGGGATTTTCCAGCGACATCCCTGTTATTGATTTCTAGTTTAATTCTACTGTATTCCAAAAGCAGACATAGTATGATTTCCATCCTTTCAAATTTGTGAAGGTATGTTTTATGGTTTACAGTGTGGACTATCTTGGTGAATGTTCCATGTAAGCTTGAGAAGAATGTGTAATCAGTTGTCATTGGTTAAGATAGTCTATAGAAGTCAATTATATCCAGCTGATTTAAGATACTGTTTGATTCAGCTGTGTTCTTACTAATTTCCTTCCTGCTAGATCTGTCCATTTCTGATAAAAAGGTGTTAAAGTTTCCAACTTTGCTGGAATCATCTATTTCTCCTTGAAGTTCTATCAGTTTTTACCGCATAGATTTTGACACTATACTCATTTAGCATTGCTATGTCGTCTTGGAGTATTAACCCCTTTATCATTATGTAATGTCCCTCTCTAATCCTGATATCCTTTCCTTGCTCTGATGTCTGCTCTGTCTGAAATTAATATAAGTATTCCCTTTCATTTGATTAGTGTTGACATGGTATATCTTTCCCCTATTCATTACTTTTAATGTATACGTGCTTTTATTTTTAAAATGAGCTTTAAAATTTTTTATTAATAAATAATATTTGTACATGTTTATAGGGCATATGTGACATTTTGTTACATGCATAGAATATGTAATAATCATCTGAGGGTATTGAAGACATTTACCACCTCAAGCATTTATCATTTCTCTGTGTTGAGAACATTACAAGTCCTCCCTTCTTGCTGTTTTGAAATATACAATACATTGTTGTTAACTTTAGTCACCCTACTCTGCTATTGAACATTAGAACTTATTTCTTATATCTAACTGCATATTTGTACCAATTAACCAACTTCTCTTCACCTCACCCACCCAACTCACACACTCTTCCCAGTTTCTTATAACACCATCCTATTCTTTACTTCCATGAGAACAACTTTTTTTAGATCTCACATATGAACGAGAACATGCGATAGTTGTCTATCTCTGCCGGGCTTATTTCACTTAACCTAATGACCTCCAGTTTCATCCATGCTGCTACAAATGACAGGATTTCATTGTTTTTTATAGCTAAATATATATACACCATATTTTCACTATTAGTTCATCTACTGATGAACACAGGTTGATTCTATAACTTTCTATTATGAATAGTGCTGCAATAAATATAAGGGTACAGAAATCCCTTTGATATAATGATTTCTTCCCATTGGATAAGTACCCCATAGTGACATGGCTGGATCTCTGTCTTAAGCTCTTTGAGAAATCACCATTCTGTTTTCCATAATGGCTGTGCTAATTTGCATTTATACTCACAGTATACAAGAGTTCCCTTTTCTTCTCATCCTTGCCAGCATCTGTTATTTTTTGTCTTTTTATTAATAGTCATTCTAGCTAGGGTAAAATGATATCTCATTATGGTTTCTATTTGAACTTCCCTGATGCTTAGTGATGTTGAAATTTTTTTCATATACCTGTTGGCCATAGAGTCAAAAATCAACAAAATACTAGCTAACCAAATCCATAGCACATCAGAAAGATAAAACATCATCATCAAGTGTGGTTTATATTAATTCTTCTTTTGAGAATTGTTGATTTGTGTTCTTTGTTCACTTTTTAATGGCATTATTATTGTTATTGCTGTTGAGTTGCTTGAGTTCCTTGCATATTCTAGCTATTAGTCTCTTCTCAAATGAACAGTTTGCAAAGATTTTCTCCCATTCTGCAAGCTGTTGGTTCACTCTGTTAATTGTTTCCTTTACTGTGCAGAAGCTTTTTAGTTCAATATCGGCCCATTTGTCTATTTTTGTGTTTCTTGCCTGCACTTTTGAAGTCTTAGCCATGAAATCTTTGCCTAGATCAATGTCCTAGAGTATCTCCTGTATGTTTTTTCTGAGTAGTATGTAATTTCAGGTCTTACATTTGGGTCTTTGATTCATTTTAAGTTGATTTTTGTATAGGGGGGGAGAGTGGAATCTAGCTTCATTCTTCTGCATGTGGATACCCAGATTTCCCAGAACAATTTATAGAAGAGGGTATCCTTTTCCTCATGCATGTTCTCAACACTTTTGTCTAAAATCAGTTGGCTACAAAGACATAGATTTATTTCTAGGTTTTTTGATCTGTACAGTTTGTCTATGTGTTTGGTTTTTTGTTTGTTTTTTGAATTGGAGTCTCACTCCATCGCTCGGGGTGGGGTGCAGTGGCACATTCAAGGCCACCCCAGTGTTGACCTGCTGGGCTCCGGCAATGCTTCCACCTTGGCCTTCCAAGTAGCCAGAACTACAGACGCACACTACCACGTCCGGCTAATTTTTTTATTACAGAGATGAGGTCTCTCCAAACTGCCCAGGCTGGTCTCAAACCCACGGGCTCAGGTAATCCACTCGCCTCAGCCTCCCAAAGGGATTACAGGCTGAGCCACCGAGCCCAGCTGTGTTTGTTTTCATAACAACACTATCTTGTTTGAGTTTAATATAGCCTTAATATATTATAAAGTCAAGAAGAGTGACGCCTCCAGCATTTTTCTTTTTGCTCAGGCCTGCTTTGTCTCTTTTTTTGTGGACTTTTAAATTGTTTCTTCTATTTTTGTGAAAAATATAATTGTATTTTGATTGAAATGGAATTGAATCTGTAGATTGCTTTGGATAGTATGATCATTTTGACAATATTAGTTTTTTGGATCCAGGACCATGGGAAATCTTTCCATTTGCTTGTGCCCTCTTCAGTTTCCTCCATCAGTGTTTTATAGTTTTCCTCCTAGAAATCTTTTACCTCCTTGGTTAAATTTACTCCTAGGAAATTTTTTTTCTGTAGCTTTGTAAATAGGATTGCCTTCTTAATTTCTTTTTCAGCTAGTTTATTATTGGTTTATAAAAAATACTACTAATATGGCCAAGCATGGTGACTAATGCCTGTAATTCCAGCATGTTGGGAGGCCAAGGAGGAAGAATTGCTTGAGATCTGAAGTTTGAGACCAGCGTGGTCAACATAGAGAGAACTCATAACCTCAGAAATTAAAAATAAGTAAATAAGTATATACACAAATAAATAAATAAATAGGCATGATGGCATGCACCTGTTGTCCTAGGAGGCTGAGAACTCAGGAGGCAGAGGCAGGAGGATCACTTGAGTTCAAGAGTTCAAGGCTGCAGTGAGCTAAGGTCATGCCACTACACTCTTGCCTGGTATGGCAGAGTAAAACCCTGTCTGGAGAGAGAAAGAGAGAGAGAGAGAGAGAGAGAGAGAGAGAGAGAGAGAGAAACAGAGAGAGAGAGAAAGAGAAAGAAAGAAAGAAAGAAAGAAAGAAAGAAAGAAAGAAAGAAAGAAAGAAAGAAAGAAAGAAAGAAAGAAAGAGAAAGAAAGAAAGAAAGAAAGAAAGAGAAAGAAAGAAAGGAGGGAAAGAGGGAGGGAGGGAGGGAGGGAGGGAAGGAAGGAAATGCTGTTACAGATTTTTGTATGTTGAATTTGTATCCTGCAACTTTACTGAATTTGTTTATTCAACTGTGTTGAATAAAGTGGCAAATATGGACATCCTTGTCTTGTTCCAGTTCTTAGAGGGAAGACTTTCAGTTTTTCTCTAGTCAGCATGAAGTTAGCTGTGGATTTGTCATATATCACCTTTATTATGTGGAGATAAGTTCCTTCTATGCCTAGTTTGTTGATTTTTATCATGATGGGATGTTGTATTTTATCAAATGTGTTTTCTGCACCTATGGAGATGATTATATGGTTTTTGTCTTTCATTCTGTTGATGTGATGTATCATTGCTTATTGATTTGCATATGTTGAGCCAATTTTGCACCCCTGGGATAAATCACACTTGATGTGCTTTTTGATGTGCTTTTTGATGTGCTGGGGATTTGGTTTGCTAGTATTTTATTGATAATTTTGAGTCTATGTTCATCAGGAGTATTAGCCTGTAATTCTCTTTTCTTGTGTCCATATCTAGTTTTGGTTAAAGATGCTCCATAGTACGATCCCCATGACCACTTTGTCCCTGAAGTAGGTATCAGGTTACTGCTGGCCTCATAGAATGAGATAGGGAGAATTTCTTTCGCTTCAATTTTTTGGAATAATTTGAGGAGAATCGATGTTATGTTTTCTTTTAAAGTTTGGTAGAGTTTAGCAGTGAAGCCACTGGTCTCAGGTTTTTCTTTGTTGGGAAGCTTTTTAATTAATGATTGCTTATTATTGGTCTGTTTAGGTTTCTTCCTGATTCTATCTTGGTGGGTTGTACATATCCAGAAATTTATCCATTTTCTCTAGGTTTTCAAGTTTGTTAGCATATAGTTATTCATAATAGTCTCTGATGATCCTTTTTCTTTTCTTTTTCTTTTTTTTAGAAGAATCAAATTTTATTTCATGATGTGAACATTAAAAATTTGCCTACATCAATGAAAATATTCACAAAAGACTTGATCATTCACACTCATACACACAAAGTTTGCTAAATAAAAAAAAAATGCTCCTTGACCCTATCCAATCCCTATCAGGGAGGGTGAAGTGCTTGCCTATTCCACTGCAGGGCTTCAGTCTTCCTGGATCTTGAACAGTTTGGCTACTTCATTGAGATCTTCATGTTGCTCACCATCCTTAATGATCTTCCTTGCTATTGGCATTTCGTTAAAGATGTTCCATAGTACAATCCCCACGACCACTTTGTCCCTGAGGTAGAAAATGATGCCTTTACCATAGTCCTCCCCTTGGACAGGAGCCTTTGGAACTGCAGGAGTGCTGGGAGGAATAGTAATTTCTGAGACCTTGGGCTCTGTCTCACTCTCTGATGAGATACCAGTCCCTGACTGTGCAGATTTTGGGTAGTCTTGTGCAGTTGCTTTTGCAAAAACACCAACTGTGGGCAAACTATTGTCCACAAGACCAATAGCTTCATAGCCAACATTGGGGCCCAAATCGCTCCAGAACATGGACTGATGCCAGTACAACTTCACAACTCCAAGTTTTCCCCAGCCAATCTTCCGCTTACAACAGCATGATCATGGTGTTCTACTCGCCTCTTTCCCAACTTTATATCATAGAAACACTCAGCATCCCTGCCCCCCAGATGTTGGAGTGTGCTTGGAGTTCTGCATTTACCCAGAAGCCACCAAAATCTGAGTCTATCTCCAGCCCACCAGTCTTAACCAACTCAGCATTAGCCTCTAGGCCCACAGCTGCCACTATGTGGTCCGTTTCTACCTTACTGCAGTCTTTCAACTTGATGAATAACTTGCTACCGCTGACTCCAACTGATTGCACAATAGCATTAGGCATCACCTTAACCCCTTCTCATCAGATTTTTTCCATGGTTCAGTTGCTGAGGTATTCGGGGAGGATCTTTCCTATATTTCCTTTCTCAGGGAAGAGCTGAATCACTTCTGTGCCCATGGCTCGAGCCTTTCTGCCAAGAGAACAGGCCAGTTCACTACCGAGGAAGCCCCCACCAATAATCGTAATATTCTGAAGTCTCCAATCTTTCTGAAAAGTGTTGTGCTACTCTTCACCTCTGCTCCAGCCCTATCAATGGCAGGCAGACTTCTTGGAGTACCTCCTGTTGCAGTCAAGCTCTTTTCATAGGTAATTTGAGAACCATAACTAAGTTTCACCATGTTGCCTCTCACACCCAGCTGTAATACCTTCTTCCCAGTGAGGACAGCCACAGCACCATTCTCAGTGTGAGGCAGGTCCTGAGCAGAGACATAGAAGGATGGTGGCTGTAAGTAGATGCTTCTCTCTTTTCCATTCCACTGTTTGAATCGCAGTGTCTTTGTGACATTGGGATCATCTGAAAACCACAGTTCTTTTGAAAGAGGAGGTCGCATGTGTGGCAGATATAATCAGTACCCAAGATCTTCAGATATAATCATCCCGAGCTCAGATGGATCTGGCTGCAGCAAAAGTAGCAGTGCCTCCACTGATTAGCAGGAAAGGAATGTGACTTGGTACCTTGACTTGAGGAACTGGCTCTCCTTCTGAAGCAGATGATATCGCCCTTTTCTATTTCTCTTCTGGTGTCAGCCCTAACCCTGACATTCTTTCATTATATCTTTTTTGGTCATCTTTTATAGTCTTGTAGGCATAAGCACTAGCTCCTATTATTGACAAGCCCACAAAAAGGACTAACAGAATTCGATTTTGCCCCCAATGCACCAGAGCTAGCCACTTGTCTTGTCATCTGGAGTTCTAGATGAACATGCAATCGCTGGAGCAAGTTGTCTGGGAGCTGGTTCCTCTGCCTCAGTCTTTGGACGCACACTGTCTGCACCAAGGGCACCAGTTTCTGCTTCAAAGCACCCACCGCAAGGTCTCTACATTGGGACATTTAGGCAACGGCTACTCGGGACTTCCTTCTTCCCTTTCTTCTCATGCACCGACTGACGGATCAAAAACTGATCCTTTTTATTTCTGTGATATTAGTTGTAATGTCTCCCTTTTCATTTGTGATTTGTTTGAGTTTTCTCTCTTCTTGGTATAGCTCGCAGTTTATTAATTTTTTTTTCTTGAGACAGAGTCTCACTCTGTCATTCAGGCTGGAATGCAGTGGCACGTTCATGGCCACCACAGCCTTAACATGGTGGGCTCAGGCGATTCTTCTGCCTCAGCCTTCCAAGTAGCTGGAACTACTGGGTGTGCACCCACCGTGCCTGGGCTAATTTTTCTTGATTTACTGTAGAGATGATGTCTCGCCAAGTTGCCCAGGCAGGTCTCAAAACCCTGGGCTCCGGCAATCCTCTCACCTCCATCTCCCAAAGCGCTGGGATTACAGGTGTGAGCCCCCATGCCTGGCTTGTCAGTTTTGTTTAACCAACTTTCCATTGCATTGTTGCTTTTTATTTTTAGTCTCTATTTTATTTAGTTCTGCTCTGATATTTATTATTTCTTTCCTTCTACTAATTTTTTTTCTAGTTCCTTGAGGTACATTATTAGAATGTTTATTTGAAATATTTTTACTATTTTGATGTAGGCATTTATTACTGTAAATTCTCTTCTAAGCACTGTTTTTGCTGTATCCACAAGTTAGTGGAGGCTGTGGTGAGGCTGTGGTGAGGCTTTGATGGGAATGAGGATGCCAGATGAACCAGTCTTTGGGCCCCAGTGGTGGCAGCAGCGCCCTGACTCTGCTTGTCCTTAGGTTCCCAGGTGTCAGATGCTGGCACCAGTGTTAGTGGGTCCAGGCTGACCAATTCTTGGACCTCCAAGTTGTTTGCTTAAGTGCTAGTAATGGCAATGGTGGACTGGGTAGATGGGCAGGTCCTCGAGGCACTGGGCAGCACAATGTGGGTAATGTCCAACCTTTGGATTCCCAGGAAGCATGCACTGATGTTACTGGTGGCTGTGACAAATAGGATAGGCCCGTTTCCAGGCTCCCAGATGGTGTGTATGGATGGATGTCGTAGGTCATGGTGGCTACAGGCCTCTGGGAAGAATGCACAGATGCCAATGATGGTGGACAAGACAGGGCACTCCCTAGGGCCCCAGATGGCTTGCTTAGGCACTGGGAGTGTGGGCCCAGACTGGGTAGGCCTGTCCTCAGTTCTCCAGGTTGTGTGCGTGGGCACAGGCTGTGGTGAAAAAGGTGGGCCTATCCCAGGCCCCCGGGCAGTATGCTCAGGTAGTCAGCAACAGCAGTGGCAGACGAGGAGAGCCTGTTTCCAGAATGTGTACAAGTGCATTCCTGCTGCTGAGGGAATGGAGTTATTGTTAGTGACAGTGGCTACAGGAAGAGGGCTCTTAGGCTATGGGAAGAGTGCACCTCACGCCCTGGCAATGTGTTGGGAATGGCAACAGCAGACTAGGAGAGCCTGTCCTCAGGGTGCCTGCAAATGTGTGATGGCCTTTCTGCTGGAGGGAGTGGGTTGCTGTCAGTGACAGTGGCCCCAGACAGGTGACTCTCAGGCTCTGGAGAGCACACACTTTGGCCCCCAGTGTTGGTGGCAGCAGTAGCTTCAGGTGAAAGACTCAATCCTCAGGGCACATGCAAGTATGCCACAGTTCTACTACTGGTGGGGCTGCCCTCAGTGGCAGTGGGCAGTCGGCTTTCTTGTTCTGGAGAGTATGTGCTTTGGCTCCCTTTGTCTCAAGGGCAGCCTCTCCAATGCATTGCACTCCCCATTCCCTGGGGTGTAGGACATTGGGTAAAATCGAGTTCTTGGAACCCCATCACATTGCTGGGTCCAGCAGACATTGGCACTCCAAAGATGTGGAGATGCGGGAGCTGTTGAGTCCCAGGCGAAGATGTGTCTGATAAGGGTTGGGCTCTCAAAATGACATGTGCTGCAGCTGCTTGGGTTTGGGGGGGAGGGCGACACACTGTGAGCTTCTCTCTGGAGCGTTATTGCACAGTCTCCAGGCAGCTTCTTATACTGGTTTCAGAGCCTGCAGGGGTCAACGGGCTCTCCCACAGCTAGGACAGCTGGAATCTGCAGTGGGAATGTGGACTGTTTGGAGTCTCTCACTTACCCTTTCCTCACACTAGGAAGCCTCTCTGGCTTTTCTTCTTCGTTCCTATTTTTGTCTCCCACACATTTTCTGCCTTTTGTGATTTTAATTGAGCATTTTGTAAGATTCTGTTTTCTCTTCTTTCTTTGTGTATCACCTATACTTATGTTTTTACTTTTTTAAGTGAGTGGCCTGGAGTTTGCAATATGCACTTGCAAGTAATCCAAATATACTTTCAAGTAACATTATGCCACTTCACAGATAGTGTGAGTACCTTATAACAACAAAATAATCCTAATTCTTTTCTTCCATCCCTCATATAATTTCTGTCATTCATTTCACTTACCTATATATAAGTACATACAAGCATAAATATGTATATAAGTACATAAAATATATACATAAACATACATAATTAAAAACATTGTTGCTATTAATCTGAACAAACTGTTATCTGTTAGATAAATTAAGAATAATAAAAATATTCTGCCTTTATTTTATTTCTTTCTTGATGCTGCTTCTTTCTTTATGTAGATCTGAGCTTATGATCTATATTATTTTCTTTCTCTCTAAACAACTCCTTTCAACATTTTTTTGCAAAGCAGGTCTACTAGTAACACGTTTTTCAATTTTTGTTTGTCTGAGAACATTTTCATTCTTCCTAACTTTTGAAGGATAGTTTCACAATGTACAGAATTCTAGGTTGCAGAGATTTTTGTCTCTCCACACTAAATACTTCCTACCACTCTTTTCTTGCTAGCATAGTTTCTGAGAGAAGTTGGATGCAATTCTTATGTTTTTTTTCTCTATAAGTGAGGTACTTTTTTTCCTCTGACTTTTTTTCCAAATTTTTTCTTTGTCTTTATTTTTGTAGTTTGAAAATGATATGCCAGGGTGTTGTCTTTTTGGCACTTATCCTGCTTGGTGTCCTCTGAGCTTCCTGGATCTGTAGCTTGATATCACATTAATTTAGGGAAATTAATGTTATTTCTTCACATATTGCTTCTGTTCCTTTCTTCTCCTTTTCTGTATTCTTATTATATGTATATTACACCTTTTGTAGTTGTTCCACAGTTTTTGGATATTCTGTTCTGCTTTACTTAGTCCTTTTTCTCTTGGCTTTCCAGTTTTGGAAGTTTGGATTTGTCAGATCCTCAAGCTCAGAGATTCTTTCTTTAGCCATGTCAAGTCCATCAAAGGCATTCTTTATTTCTGTTACAGGGCTTTTTTAATCTCTAGCATTTCTTGTATTATTTCTTAGAATTTCCATCTCTCTGCTTACATTATCCATCTGTTCTTGCATGTTGTCTACTTTATCCACTAAAATCCTTAGAAAATTAATTATAGTTTAAAAAGTTTCTAGTCTGGTAATTCGAAAATTTCTGCCATGCTTGATTCTGGTTCTGGTGCTTCTTCTTTCTCTTCAAACTGTGTTTTTTGCCTTTTGGTTTGTCTTGTAACATTTTATTGAAAAGTAGCAAGATGTACTGGGTAAAAGAAATGATAATGAATAGGCGTTAGTAATGTAATGGTAAGGAGTGGGGATGGGGGAACATTCTACAGTCCTATGATCAGCTCTCAGTCTTTTGGTGAGCCTGTGTCCTGGAGTGTGGACTTCACCAATGCTTCCCGCATTTTCTCCCTCCTTGGGTGGGACAGAATGGCCAGAGGGAAATACTGTCAATATATACCTTCCCCCAGGTTGGTATGGATCTGATAAAAACCTCAGCAGGTTAGGCTCTAATAAAATAGTTTCTCCTGAGGGCAGTAGGTCTTGTTAAGAAGAACAGAATGCTTGCGCATATTTTAAACTAGTTGCTTTTCCCCTCACCTTGACAGAAGACCAATGGGATTTTTCTCTGATCTTCTCTGTGAAAATCTGGTAAGACTCCTGGAGGGGAAACTCAAAAAAGGGTGGCAACCCACCTGTGACTGTCCCCTTGAGTTTTTAATCTTTCAGACTTGTCTTCCACTGAGCCTCCAACAATTCATCAGTTACAGCTCAGATTCTCCTACCCTGGTGCTGGTTCTTGCAGAGTTTTCTGCTTATGGTTTTCTGCTCTGATAAGGTTCTAATTCTCTATCTGCCTGTCTGTCTTTCCAGTTTTGAGGGCAGTGGTTTGTCCTGTGACCTCATTTCTCTGACAGATTTTTTTTTTTTTTGAGTTGGAGTCTCACTCTGTCACCCAGACTGGAGTGCAGTGGCCGCTTTCGGCCACTG